AGAGAGAGAGAGAGAGAGAGAGAGAGAGAGAGAGAGAGAGAGAGAGAGACAGAGAGAGAGAGACAGAGAGAGACAGAGAGAGAGAGAGAGAGAGAGAACACTTAAAGTTAAACCTCGTGTTTTTTTGCTTCTAGTTGAATAATTAACACGATACATATTCATGCACTTTTTAGTCCTGCAGGAACCCTCTTCCTCTTCCACACACGATACCATCATAAATCGAGTAGGAAATTCTTATTAGAGGTTGCGTGGGGCGGATGTTGAAGGGACTGGAAGGGCCGCCATGACTGGCAGCAGGAAGTGAGATTAGATTGTGTGGTATTTTGTATTTTTAGTCCTTTTTCATGTTAAAAGATGACATGCACATGTCTGTTTAAGTTACATGGAATATACAGTCTGCCATGTTTCTACAGAAGCCCAGAATGGACAAACCCAGTGCTGGACTATTGACATTAATATAACTGTGCTGCACCATAAATACAACAATACCTTTGGCTCAGTCTCACTGCATCTTGTTTTAATGCCTATAAATGGGATAACTAATACAATTACAGTTAATAGGAATAGCAAGTTTAGAATCTGATTCAATACAATGTAATAATTATTTATTGTATATAGCCCAATACCACAAGTTTGCCTCAGAGGTTTTAACAACATCTTATCTCCCTCACAGCAAGTTCCTCTCCTGATAAGAATGAACAACTGCAGGTTGCACAACCCTGGCCATACGAGTTCTCGCAAAGACATCAGCAACTTTGAACAACCGTTTCATTTGAAGGCTTTAAGAAACACTTAACTGGAGACGACTAAGTGACGTCTGTTTGAGAAAGCAGCGGCCTAAGTGCACATCCCGCTTCCTGTATATATGGAAATTGTAGTTACAGTGTAATTGCAGTCATCCGTTGTTTATTATGTGGGGATGTAAACTTGCTAAATTGTGAAGGTGAAGTGCAGACATAGAACAGAATAAAAATAGGTCATCATGTAATTTTCCAAACATATTGAAAACCTTCCAAAATAACATACATACTGCTTTTTCTCAAGTACTTAGGAGTCAATGAAATATTTTAAAAAGGGGACAGTCAACCCATGTCTCCATCTAAACTACATTTCATCGAAACTACATTCTCAACTACGTTTAGAGGGGGAATGCTGTTCCTCCCAGATAAAGACTGCAGTTTGAGACACAAAGTTAATGTTACAAACAACGTAACAAAACAAAAACTACAAAACTACTTTGTTATTTTCAGGCAACAAAATAATTGAGTTCCCAGCTGTCTTTGGGGTGAACGTCCTGTGTAAGGCAGTTCACGTTGCAGTTTTGTTGGTTTTTAGCTCTGTTGTGGTCTTTGGCTGCTCAACTTTGTTCACCAGCTAACTGCTAACTCTGCTGATCAGTTATTGTTCAGTGAGTTTCTTCTCCAAAGCTGCCTTCTGCTGCTCGCAACAGGGTTGATGAGAGCAGAGAAAAGCAAATCAATGAGTTGAAAGAGGCTAAAAAGCTCAGACCCCTTTCACATTACAGTCATCGCCTGTTAAAATAAAGATATTGATTAGCACACACCGTGCTGTGTTTAATTCTTGTTTAACCTTTATTTAATAACCTCATTGAATCTCATTTCCAAGTGGCTCCTGATGGCAGAGCTTCAAAACACAAATAACAGACTTAAAAAACAAAACTGCAAAAAGATAAAACCAACAAAAAAGCATTTTTAAAATCTTGCATATTTATAAAGTAATAAACGAACAAGATGATGGTCCATAAAAACAAATATAACTAACATGCAAATCATTACACAAATAACCAAACATATCCTCCTTTGTATGTTTTATACATAACAGAAATACATTGATGTAATGTTGAATCCGTTATGGTTATTCATACATGAAGCCACTGTTAATATGAGACTTGAGACTTCCAACATTTTGCCTTTAAGAAAGAATAAATGGATTTAAAATACATCACATGAAAAAACAAACTGATTAGGAAATGGTAATAAAAAAGCATCGATTAAATACAGTGAAGTTCAGTCCTCGTGAACAGTTAACAGCATGCTCACTAAAACACCCTGTAGTTTTACACTTCAATGCTGTTTGAAATAAACATGGAGGACACAAATTAAAACCGCTTTGCTTACCTCGTGAAAGTGTGTGCTGACAGCTGGATGGTGTCTCCTTCTTCTGCTCTACCTGCTTTAAATCCTCTCTGCTCATCACTGAACTCTGCAGATCGAGTGAGCAGCAGAGAAAGGAAATCACACACACCTACACACTCATTCAACATTCTCCCTCCCTTCTCCCACTTATCTCCCTCACACACACGTCACTGGAAAATCCCAAGAAATATCCTGTTTTCAGTGACAGCAGTTTCTAATTCATCATACCGAGCAAACACAGTAAATGACGTGTTTACTGTCGGAGTGCCAACTGTGACTTCACTCAAAGCTAGGCTTGTCTCCCCTCTTTTGCATGGGACATAATACATATTTACATCATATCTCAGCAGACAGCTTGTGTCAGAGCATCATGTGAGACTTAGAGGTAAAGTTAGAAAGATACTGACAGATTCGGACAATCTGCATTGGTCTCAATGAGCGGCCGGCTGCGAGACGAGTGCGCAGGGACCGTCTACAAAGTGCAATGCGGAAAATACCTACTACAACAATATTCAATAGCTTCACTGTCATGCAATGTAGTGTAACCAAAATCACTTCACACATCAATGGGCTCCTCCTTGTTGTACTACAAGTGTTATTTTGAAAAGAAATGATTTAGATTAATTTTAGTGAATATTTATTAAATAATAATCAATAGCTTTACTGTTGATAAGTGTATCATGACCAAAATCACTTCATATATCAATGAGCTCCTTCCTGTAGTACTACAAGTGTTATTTTAGTTTCACCAGACTTGTAGATGGTTATTTATAAATCAGCTCATGGCTGCCTCATGGCATCTGCCCCTCAACCAATCAAATGATAGATGCCGAGGGTGACTAGGTCACTAACCAATCAGGAGCACCTTTCAATTAAGTTCTACCTGCAGTGATCTTTCAGTTTGTCAGTCTCCAATGCAAACCACGATGGGGAGAGACATCTTTCGATACCTAATGCGTTTGCCACATTTATTTTTCCTTTTTCACAATGTTGTTACAGCATGACAATATACGTGTATATCCTTTGTTGAAGATGAAATGAGTGAACTACTTATGATGGCTCTTATCTTGATGTATGTGGTACTATATTTTTATTCAAGACAAATACACAATACAAAACATAGGTTCACAATTGCACTAGTTTATTTATTTTATTTTATTAGTTTATTTGATAAGGGACAGTGCACACTAATAAAAACATTTCTGTAAATGCACCAGAGTTAGCCAAGAGGCTATTTTTCATCTGTAGTCCCAAGAGGCAGATGTTACAAAATAAACCTAAAAACAGAATGTAAGATTACATTTAAAAGGTTATACAATGTTGACGCTTTACAATGTGTGCACAAATAATGAAAAAAGTGAGAATATTAATATACGTAGTATCATCATTCAGGAGACTCTTAAACATTGTCAAGTACTAACAAGACATGCAACACAGAAGCTCTCAAATTCAACACACACAAGCAAATAAAGTAAGAGATAACTACAGGTGCATCTCAATGAATTAGAATATCATCGAAAAGTTAATTTATTTCAGTAATTCAATTCAAAAAGTGAAACCCATATATTATATAGATTCATTACACACAAGGTGATATATTTCTTGCGTTTATTTCTTTTCATTTTGATGATTATGGCGTACAGCTAATGAAAACCCCAAATTCAGTATCTCACAAAATTAGAATATTACATAAGACCAATTAAAAAAAGGATTTTTAATACAGAAATGTTGGTCTACTGAAAGGTATGTCCATATACAGTATGCACTCAACACTTGGTCGGGGCTCCTTTTACATGAATTACTGCATCAATGCGCCGTGGCACGGTGGCGATGAGCCTGTGGCCCTGCTGAGGTGTTATGGAAGCCCAGGTTGCTTTGATAGGGGCCTTCAGCTCGTCTGCATTGTTGGGTTATCAACAGTAAAGCTATTGATTATTATTTTTAATAAATATTCACTAAAATTAATCTAAATCATATTTTTTCAAAATAGCAGTTGTAGTACAACAAGGAGGAGCCCATTGATGTGTGAAGTGATTTTGGTTACACTACATTGCATGACAGTGAAGCTATTGAATATTGTTGTAGTAGGTATTTTCCACATTGCACTTTGTAGTTGGAGACTCCCAATGAAGTAACAGCAATAACAAATAAATCCCAAATAAACATTCCCACTTAGTAAGAAAGTAGACGGTAAGTGATTTGCTATGAAATGACTCAGAGGACGGTGAGTGCTTTCCAATACATTGATTAGATGACGGTATAAGTGCTTCATAAGAGCTCATTGTCTGCTGAGACTCAACAGGTTCAGAACAAAAGCAATGCAGAAACATTCGGACACCATCAGTTTGCTGTAGAAGCCACATGTCATAACACATCACATTTCTACTCATTTTCACAAAGTAAAGGCAGAAGAAATGTTCATCTTTCCCTCTCAGCCAACCATGGCAGGTTGTGAAGGAGGCACGAAACAAAATCTAGTGGTTTTGTGTACATGGACACGAATTGTCTGTTGTTTTTGATGTCGCTCAGGACGATAACAATGCCAATGGAAAGTCAATTAGGATCCTTATTCGTGGTGAATAATTCGTTTGTTGCCTAAACCTAATGTCAGCTTTGTTGCCTAAACCTAATGTCAGCTTTGTTGCCTAAACCTAACGTCAGCTTTGTTGCCTAAACCTAACGTCAGCTTTCTTGCACACCAACACACTTTACAAGAACATTTATCATCGGACGTCCGTCGTCATGATCTTCTCAACAGACTGGACATCAGTGCGGTTGTAGTCAATCGAGACCTCTCTAATCCTGACAAACTCCACACCCACACACACACACACACATGCGTAAGAAGAATTCAAATGAATTAGAGAGCCAATGTGAAATCAGTTTTGAGAGCATGTGCATGGCAGCTCATTTTCAGTGCAACATGATTCTGAGCTGTCCTGAATGTGAACACCCTGTGCACACATTTAGACTATGCTGCTGTAGGAATTAGGGTTTTAATTGGACAAATCTGCCCCTCGTCTTTTATGTTTAATCCAGTGCCAATGCAGGAAGGAGTGTAAGGGATTCTCTTGCAGTGAGTCCAACTTTCACGGACCAAAGTTCCCATAACATCACATAAGTTAGAATTAACGCTCCTCATTTATTTTGAGTGTAACCACAATTGTTTTTGATGCTTGAACCTAACTCTACCAGTTTGTCATAATCACAAACTGTCCATAACCTCAACCAAACCGTACAGTAGTTGCCATTGGCATAATTTCAAAGGTGAGGGTTTTAAAAACGATATGGGAAGTGACATATCTGGACTGAGGAGTGACGTAGAGACGCCGTATAATACGTCTCTGGTAGAGACCTGTCAATCACCGTGTAGCCCCGCCCT